GCCATCCAACCATCTCATCCTCTGTCATCCCCTTCTCCTCCTGCCGTCAATCTTTCCCAGCATCAGGGTCTTTTCCGATGAGGTAGGTCTTCACATCAGGTGGCCAAAGTATTGGAGTTTCAGCTTCAACATCAGTCCTTCCAATGAATATTCAGGACTGGCTTCCTTTAGAATGGACTGGATGGATCTCCTTGCAGTCCAAGGGACTCTCCAGAGTCTTCTCCCCAGGCTCAAAAGCATCAATTCTTCAGCGCTCAACTTTCCTTATAGTCCAACTTTTTCACCCATACATGACCACTGGAAAAACCATCACCTTGACAAGATGGACCTTTGTTGATAAAGTAATGTCTCTGCTTTTTAATATGCTCTCTAGGTTGGTCATAACTTTCCTTCCAAGGAGTAAGCGTCTTTTAATTTCAAGGCTCCAGTCACCATCTGCAGTGATTTTGGAGCCCAGAAAAATAAAGTCAGTCACTGTTTCTCCTGTTTCCTTCCCCATTACCTGCCATGAAGTGATGGGACCAGATACCAAAATCTGAGTTTTCTGGATGTTGAGCATTGAGCCAGCTTTTCCACTCTCCTCTTTCACTTTCATCAAGAGGCTGTTTAGTTCTTCTTCACTTTCTGCCATAAGGGTGGTGTCATCTGCATACCTGAGGTTATTGATATTTCTTCCAGCAATCTAGATTCCAGCTTGTGCTTCCTCCAGCCCAGCATTTCTCATGATGTACTCTGCATATAGGTTAAATAAGCAGGGTGACCAGATATAGCCTTGAAGTACTCCTTTCCCTCTTTGGAACCAGTCTGTTGTTTCATGTCCACATCTAACTGTTGCTTCCTGACGTGCATACAGATTTCTCAAGAGATCCTTTAGATGGATTCCTGTTAATATGAATTCGCTAAGCATATCGATCTGTATAGTCCAAGGGATCAATCATCATCTATTCGAATGTACTTATTTAGGCTATAAGAGTGTCATAGAATGGAATTCCAAATATGACAGAATCTAACTGTATTAGAAATGCATGGAAAAACCTCACAGTAGGGGATGGGGCAAAAGATGCTGACCTAAGTGAACTTTAGCAGTGAACAGACTCTCTGAACTAAAGGCAAAATGGACCATACATAAGCAGTAGACTTTGTTTGATGGAGTCCTTTCCAGAGTGTGAAAGTGAAAGTCACTCAGTCGTGTCTGACTCTTTGTGGCCCCTTTGACTGTATAGTCCATGGAGCTCTCTAGGCCAGAACACTGGAGTGGGTAGCCCTTCCGTCCTCCAGGGCCTCTTCCCAACCCAGGGATTGAACCCACGTCTCCCGCATTGCAGGTGCATACTTTACCAGCTGAGCCACAAGGGAAGTGTAGTAGCTGACACTTCTGAAACCACTGTTTATGTCATCTGGGAAGGTCCCATGCACAGATAAATGGCAGATGGTGGAAGCCTGGTTCCTGCCTGTGGGAGTGGCAGTTATAGAGAAGCAAGGGGACAAAAGAGATATAGAGAAACCCTCCACATCCTGGATCCAGACTTCCTGGGAGGATGGTGTGGGGAGTCGACGACCTGGGGAAATGCACAGATCTTCATACCTGGAGTGCCATGCAGATGGAGTAACCTCACACTCCATCCTTCCACCCACACTAGCTGGAAATGAGGCAGAAGTGAGATAGGCCCCAGGCTGAGAACCTGGAGGCTCTCCCATGTGGACAGATACAATAAGATGAAGACAATAGCAGGAGGGAATAGGACCTGATCCCTGTCCAGAGAACTGATGAAAGACCATAGAGTCCTCATTCTCAGGGTCGAGGAGACCTGTTCGACTACACAGGTGCAGAAAAGCTCCCAAGGGTCAAAGGATGAGAGGGCGCCACCCTACAGTCAGTAAGTGACATCAACTACCCTTACGCTTCCTTGCTAGAACCTGCCTTGGCTAAGTGATGCACACACATGGGAAGGAGCCTGAGCGAAACCAAATACAGACTCAGAACCAGACAGAGCAAGATGATGGGCCAGAGGAAACCTGAGAGAAACACTGCACGGAAGTGATTTACGCCACCGCAATAGGGACATCTCTTTCTGAGTGCACAGTTTTGTCTATTCACACAGACAGTCTTTCCACTTAATAAACACTTTACTTGTTTCAATCCTTTCTGCTTCTTTGTGGAAATTCATTTCTACAAAGCCATTCAGCCAGGGCCTTGTCACTGACCACTGGTCTACTGGTTAGGATTCAACTCTTTCACTGCCATTGCCTGACTTCATAATACTGGAATCAGTAGCCTTTCCCTACTCCAGGACATCTTCCCAACCCAGGGATTGCACCCATGTCTCCCGCATTGCAGGTGGATTCTTTACCAGCTGAGCCACAAGGGAAATGTAGTAGCTAACACAAGGGAAGCGTGAGCTTACTACTTCTGCATGGCATTCCAGGTATGAAGGTCTGTGCATTTCCCCAGGTAGTCAACTCCCCACACCATCCTCCCAGGAAGCCTAAATCTAGGATGTGGAGGGCTTATCTGTATATCTTATCTCCCTTTCCTTATCTATAACTTCCACTCCCACAGTGAGAACCAGGCTCCCACCATCTGCCATTTGTTTGTGCATTGTATCTTTCCAGATCACATACACAATGTTTTCAGAAGGGTCAGCTACTATGCTTCCCTTGTGGCTCAGCTCATAAAGAATCTGCCTACAGTGTGGGAGACGTGGGTTCGATCCCTGGGGTGGGAAGATCCCCTGGAGAAGGGAAAGGCTACCCACTCCAGTATCCTTGCCTGGAGAACTCCTTGGACTATCCATAGGATCCCAAAGAGTCAGACACAACTGAGTGACTTTCCCTTTCACACTCTGGACAGAACTCCAGAAAACAAAGCCTACTGCTTAGGTATGGTCCATTTTGCCTTTAGTCTCTTCATTTCTAAAGTTCATTTAGGTTAGCACCTTTACCTCATCCCCTGTGGTGAAGTTTTTCCATGCATTTCTAATACAGTTCGATTCTGTTGTATTTGGCATTCCATTCTGTGCACTCCTATAGCCTAAAAAAGGAAATTTGAATAGATCATGATTGACCCCTTGGACTATATGAATTGATATGTTTAGTAAATGCATATTAACAGGAATCCATCTGAAGGATCACTTCAAATTCCCCACCCCAGGATCTCTTTTAACATCTGTGTAGGTTTGCCTTTCCAAGAATGTCATCAATGGGATCCTACTGTACTCAGCCTCTTCAGACTGCATTCTTTCACTTAGCCATATGCATCTAACATTTATCCCTGTCTTTCAAGGGCTGACTTTTCACTCCTGTCCACTGTTGAGTGTTATTCCTTTGCATGTGTATAGGAGGAAAAACAATTTTCCTCTGCCTTTTTGGTCCTTGGTTGAGCCTTCCTTCTCCATAATTAAAGTCAAAATACCAGGAGAGAAACAGAAGTTTAATAACATGTATATCTTGCATATGGGGAAGATGCCAAGGAAACTGAGTCACTTCCTGCAGTGACCAAAGCCATCACCGTAAATACCGTCTTCAGCTAAAAACATAGCGAAGACATTGGGGGAAGCGGGAAGGCCAGTTATGGCAGGTTATCATGGAAAGCACAGTAAACAAGCATATGATTCTCTGCAGACTTATGCCGGGACCTCTTCACTGAGAAGAGTTCCTTCAGATGTAACTATCCTATTTCAGGTGCAAAGAGGGACACACCCTTACAAACAGAGACTTCCCTACTAAACGTAAATGGAACTCACAAAAGGGCAACCTCGGGCTCCCCTGGTGTTCTACCGGTTAAGGAGCTGCCTGCTAATGCATGGGACACGGGTTTGATTCTTTGTCCAGGCGTATCTCACATGCCTCAGAGGAGCTAAACTCATCCAGCACACACACTGAGCCAGCACTCTAACAGCCTGGGAGTCACGACTCCTAAACACGTGCACCAAACGACTGAAGCCTGGACACCTGGACCCGTGCTCTGCAACAAGAGGAGCCCCACTCACCAAAACCAGAGGAGGCCCGCTCAAAGCAATGAAGACCTAGCACGGCCAAAAATCAATTAACAAATCTCAAAATCAAGAAGGGCAACGTCTACTCAGGTTTTCTGTTTTTTATTTTATTGAATTAAACACAGCAAACTAACCCTATGTCAGAGACACATCTTAGGGTGACATGTTCTGCCCCCATTGACTTGGATGTAATGCAATTTATCTACACATTCATCTACTGAAGGATATCATGACTTCTTAAAATGTATAGCCATTTTGAACAGAACTGCTGTACATAATTGCATCCAAGGTTGCATATTCAGAGCAGTTGCCTGAATGCAGGGAGCCATTATATGCTCAGCCACCCACAGAAGCCAAACTGGGAGACTTGAGCCAGAATCTCGATGGAAAAAGAGGACCAGAAAGTTGGCTATTCTTTCATAGAAGAGAAGGCGACCTTCCAGTCTTCCTTTCAGTCCCCCAATTGGGGGGTGGGGTCTTGAAAAGGCAGGAAGGGGAGTGTCTTTTCCTAGGTCCCAGAGCCCATCCAGGCCTGTTTCTGCCCCATTCTGTGCTAGGTCAGCCCTGTATTGAATTCTTCCTTTGGGAAGTCTCAGTGCACAAGCTCCATGCGATACAAGCCCCAGTGGAAAGTCATGGGGGTCTCGTAGGCCAAGAGACCTGGGCAGGAGATGGGAGAAAGATCCCCACTCTGCATATGGAGAGATGGGGGAAGCCCTGAGGGGCACATGCTTGTCCAGGACCACGTCACTTATGACAAGGAGGAGCCTGGTCTGATAGCAGCTGTGTCCCCAGAGCTCAGACCTTGGCGGCACCCAGGCCTCCCCAAGGCTGAGGGCTGGGCAGTGTGGGTGTCACTGTGCCCGCACGTGGCCTAAGGGTGTGGTTGCACAGTCAGAAACACCGAGGTTCCCTTGGGGAGCTCTGTGTAAGGGACCTCAGCAACGAACCCAAGAAGTGATGTCACTTCCTGGCAACAGAACCCAACAGAACCCAGAACCCAGGTATCCAGGCACCACTGCGAGAGGAGACCCCAGCCAGATCACTTGGGCCCAACATGTTCTGCTGTTTGCCCCTGCCCAGAGGCCGGGGCCTCAGGAGGACTCACAGGCAGAGTGTGTGGGATTGCTGTCGACGCTGCCTCAGGGCCCCCCGAGGAGGCCTCTGGCCCTTTGCCCGAAGGAACAGGAAGGTAACACGGGAGCCCCAGGCCGGGCCCGGCCACCTCTCCCATCCCACCCGGGCAACCCTGAGTCCTTTCCCTGGGAACGGGCACGGGGGGTTCTCCGGGTGTGTCTGCCTCAAGCAAGCCCAGACGGATGTGCGGTCACAAGCCTGTGGGCCGGTGGCGTCCCCGCCCCAGGGGAGAGCAGGCTGGGCGGGATGGGGAGAGTCCAGGCAGCGCTGGCTGCCCAGGTTGACCTTACGCCCTAGAGGTGTCTCCTTCCTCCCGGGTGGCTATCTCAGCAGACACACGTCTCTGCTGGGAGCAGAAATTCAAGTGGGCAGAAGCAGCAGCCATACCGGCCAGGCCCAGCTCGCAAAACACCAAGCAGGCCTGGCTGACGGCTACTGTCGTTGCAGAGCTTCCCTCCGGATGCGGCCTCCGCGGGGGACACGCCGTCCACCTCCTCGAGGGAGGGGGCGGAGCCCCACCCCCCTGCCCGGGAGGCCCAGTGCAGGGTCCAGGGGAGCGCGCCCATGGAGGGCTCAGCCCAAGGGGGAGCCAAGAGCAAGAGGGGAAGGCCCCCCCAGAAACCACCCAGGAAACACCCCGGGGCCCAGTCTCGGGCTGCTACGGGGCTCAGCACACCTGGCTCCGACCCAGAGCCCCGAGGACCCAACCCTCTGAGGCAGCACGAGGACCTGGAGCCCAGCGCGGCAGAGCACACAGGTGAGGAGGCTGGGGCTGGGAATCTGAGTGCGTGGGGAGGGGTGCGCAGCTTCCCAGGGAGGAGTCCCCCAGAGCTGGGGCTGGGCCTGGAGCAAAGGCGGGCCTCACACCGTCTTGCAGACTGCAGTCAGAGAAGGCATCCTATGCTGGGGATTCTACTGGAAGTTCTGGGAAGCTGGAGAGCCCAGTTAGGCCCGTGACAAGGGAGACCTGTGGGGAGTCTCTTCTTTTCTCCCAGCTCTAGCTCTGACCTTCCAACTCAACCAGGCTCCATTTCCAACACCTGTCCCTACAGAGGAGGTGGCTCCACGTGTAGGACCCAGGGATCCACTGAGGGGACATCGAGACCTGATCCATCCTGTCTCAAAGACACCGGGCCAGCTGGTTACTGGCCACCACTCTGGGCAGATCGGACCTCTGTGCCTGCATGACCGCCAGCCCCAGGCACCGATGTCCCAGCCCCTCAGCCCGAACGTCCACCTCCACCTGCACCTGCACCTGCACCTGCTCGGGCTTTGGCAGGAGAACCTGACTCAGGGCATGAGTTACCACCTCTGCAGGGAGAGGCTGCCCTGGCTCCTGCTCAAGACCCAGACGCCCACGATGACGGACCAACCACTGCAGGGAGAACGGGCCCCTGTTCTGGACAGAGACCCAGAGCCCGTTCCGGAAACACCAGGTCCAGGGGAGCCGTGGGCTCTGAAGCCGCGATCCCTGTCTGCCCCCCGTGGATGCCATCACCTCGCTCCCCACCCAGGGGAGACTCAGATCCCTTCCCTTGAGGGTCTTTTCATTTGGCTTTTCTCTACCTATGTTGTGCTATTTTATTTGTTGTATGGTGTTCTGTATTTTTTTGGCTTCAGTTTTAATAAATAAAATTATTCATTTATTTCATAAGAACAATTTAATCATAACAATGATGGTTGTTTAACAATTCTTATTGTTGTTAGCAATTACTGTTGTTTAACAATAACAATTATTCAAAATTGTTGGAATTTGGGAACACTGAGGACCTACAAAGTGCTGTGTGACCACTGCCACCTTGTAGTTTCAGACCCTTTTCATATTTCCGCCTCACCTCCCAGCAAACCCTGTATTCACGGCAAGCACTCCCTGTCCTTCCGTCTCCCTGCCCATGAACAAACTTGAAACCTTTGCTTTCTTCATTTCTTCCTATATTCTGGGTGTCCCCATCAATGACTATCAGTGAAACAATGAGGTACTTTTGTTCTGACTCCCCACATTTTGCAAGGCTACATTTGAGAATTCTTGTTTTTATTTCATTTGAAGTACCTTTGAGTATCTGAAAGGATGGTGTAGGTACTTTCAAGATATCATGGGCCAGATGAAGCCCTTTAGGCAAATGCCATCGTATTCCCCAGGCAGACATTGCTGTTGTTAAGAATGACATCTCAGCCAGGAGGCAAATCCTGAGCTCTTCCTGTGGCACAAACAAACTCACAAAATAAGCCAAGAAAGAGAGCTGGAAAAACAAACAACCCCAACAACTAGGAAACCATCCCTCATGAGACAAGGCTAGAGAATGACCTAACATCCTGGTGACCCAAAAACCCTCTAGAAAAGTCATGTTCTGGAAAGAAGAGAACACATGGGAAGACCTAAGGAGAGGCAATGCACACGGCCAGTCTAGTTTAGAGATGGCCTGACTGCTCAGATGGAGACGCAACAATGGAAACCCTTTGCAGACAGCAGTGATGGTCATCACCATGGTAACTGACTCGTCTGGTGACAACCTGCCCTGGGCACCACTCGAGGGAGCAGACCTGGTTCTCGTCCTCTGGCCCAACACCACTCCCTGATGAAGGCAGCTCAGGTGCCATTGTGCCCTGCCTGCCTGCCTGACTCATCCATGAACTCTCACCACCTCCAGGGCCGGCCTCCACTTTCTCCTCTCTCTGCACCGTGAACCTGCACACAGTGGGCCTTCAGAACCTCAGGAGACTCGAGCCATTCCCACTAGAGCCAGAACCCTACCCCAGGCATTAAAATACCTGTGGCATCACTTTGGCCCAAGCACGGGACCCAGAACCCTGGAGGCAACGACACCCTCTCCACTGGGAAGAGTCAGGTCCCTCTGTGCGGAGCTTCTGAGCTGTCAGATCTGAGCTGTTGTGTCACTGTCAGCTCTGTCTGTCCGGGGGCAGCCAGGAGGGCCACGCTGCAGACAAAAGAGCTCACAAGCTGAGTTTCAAGGGAGGGATGGCAAGGGCAGCGAGGGACACAAACTGAGGGAGGGTCCCCACGACATGCGGAAAAGGCCTGCGGTGTGCAAGTGGGGAGTGGGGCCCCCAGGGTCCACAGAAAGAGAGGTGCTCGGGAGCAAAGGCCGCTGGCTTCTCCTCCAGCAGCTCCACATGGCAGCCCGTGAACAGCAGTCAGCAAATGTGGCCGCAAGAGGGTGGCTCTGTCACTTCCTCAGAAATCGAGAGAAAGGTGTCAGTGTAAGTGGCAATCTGGAGGGTGTGGTGGGGTGGACGAAGCGAGGTGCCCTTCCTCTCTTCAGCGCAAACTGCTTTTGGAAATCTCAAAGCTGCCAGATGGCAGTTACCAAGTCAGGCCCCAACAGTATCCAGTATGTGCTGATGCCTTACCCCTGACACACGGACAACCCACACCACTGGCTCCCCTGCGTTCAAACGGCAGGATCCGGGGGTTCTGTCGGGGTGCACACCTCCTGGCTATAGCCACGTGACCCCCTTCTCAGAGCACCAGTCTCATGCTCTAGAATGAGGACATCGACTGCTCCCTTAGCAGGTTTCTATCTCAATCCTGTGAAGACTAATTCGGGTTATTCTAGAATTAATATCTGACCCGAAGAGATATCACCTGAATCCAGATTCAACTGGAGTCTCCCAGTGGTATCTGGCATTTCTTCCTGAAGCCAGCCAAAACCCACACAGTTGCATTTCCAGGTCTCCACTTAGCCAGCTGGATAGAAAACCCAGCGAGGTTCAAACAAGCTGATAGACAAGCAGAAGAGGACTCACGGGCAGACAGCTTCCCTCAGGTCTCAGGAGGAGCTGCGGGTCCACACCAGGAAAGGGCGCTCTCAACCCCTGGGCTCAGCAGCGCCCTCATCCTCAGGCTGGCGGCTCTGCCCTGATGGGAGCTGGAAGGCCACCAACAGCCCCAGGCCGACCTCATGCCCCTCGCACTGCTGGAGCCTGACGTCAGCCAGCCACACCCCTTCCGGCAGAACCAGAGCCCCTCTTCCCCTTGATTCCAGTGTCAAGCCTGGCCCTGGGTCCTGACTGGTAACTGCCCTACTCCTGAGCCAATCACGGTGTCCAGGGAGGACGGAACACACCCACTGGCCAGGTCCAGGTCATGTCACCATCCTCTAGGGCACGTGGGAGCTGCTCGCCGTGTGTCAAGGGTGGAGACAGTGCAATGCCCCAAGAGCAGGGATAGGAGTCCAGTCACTGTGTCCATGTGCTCAGAGTCCTGGGACGTGCTTCCACGCATCCTCTCAATGCACCACTTTGTCCTCTGCAGACAAAATGTTCATGACACCCCTCTTCCCTTCCCAAGCCCTGTTTCACATTCAATGGAGCAAGGACTCCTGTTTCAGGATAGTTTTGGAGATCCTCTGCTAGCCTATTAGAATAATTGATTCAGTCAAAAACCACCCACAAGCACCATCACATGCTGCTCCGTGCTTGCAGGTCTATTCATTGTTTTGAGTCGAGGGCACGGCCCAGGGTGAGTGAATTTTGTGCAAAGAAGCACCTGAGAGAATCACAGAATCACTTTGCTGTATGCCTGAAACTAAAATTCATTACAAATCAACAATATTTAAATTTAACAAAAGATATTCACTCTTCAAAAATTGTTCTAAAATCAAGTTTTTCTTTGAAGTGTTGGTTCTTGGTATGTGTATAATCTTTGGTGGTGTTTTGTGAGGTAGGGATCTAACGTCCTTTCCCAATGGATATCAACTAGTCCCAGTGTGCCTCCTTTCTCCCTTTACATATTTAGAAACAATTCTCCAAATCCAAAGTATCAAAGGCTGCAGGTCTTTGGTAATTTGGGAAGCACCCAAGAGCCAGGTGTCCTTTTCCGAGTCTTCTCCTCGCATTTGGCCACTGCCAGTTTCTGGTATACACAAGTGCCCCAGAAAGTTCTCTGTAGTGAACCATGCATGTTTCTGTGAGGACAGAGGATGTGAGCACGGAGGAGGGGCTGAGTCCACAGTGACCACTGACCATGCTGAGCAACTCCACCATTAAGTCTGGCTGAGATTTCCAAAGGGAAGTTCTGTGTTTCTTCCTTTGGTGTCTGGCTGCACACAGTAAGGTTGGTGGATTGGGACTTTGGTCTCTGGGATCAGCAGTGTAGTTGAATCTAACCAGCAGATTAGACTCAGAGCCTGATTTTCCATTCTATTTCCTCCATGTGGGCTCTCCTGAGCTGGAGTGGAGATATTTCTGATACATTTCTGCTAAAGGCCTGAAAAGCAGTCAATCCTGCTTCCCACCCCCTGCCTTGTCTGTACTTCTGTCATTTTTTAAAAATATAGTTCATTATCAATGTTGTCAGTCCTTGTGTCATTCTGACAGTCAGGCACCTGCGGCTTAATAGACCTAAAGCTCCCGAGAGCTCTTTGCCTGGTGGATACATGGAGAACTCAGGGAGCAGCACCACATCACACTGGAGCCTGGACCAGAGAGAAGGTCCTTGCCAGGAAGAGGCCGGCCCTGCAGTGGGGGATCTGAGTTATCACTTCTGATCTTGCATCCCCCGCTCCCTGGTTTAGGCCCCACTCTGAGATCTGGAAAGGAGGTGGCCTCCCTCCCTGACCCACGACTAGTATCATTTTCGTCCTGGTCCTCGTCCAGCCCCATCTGGCTCCCCAGCTCCACACTTGACCCTTGCGCACAGGATGAGGAGAGCACAGTTCCAGAGAAGTTTGACACAAGGAGAGGCTGCTGGAGACCTTCCAATCCCCTGGTCTAAATAAGCATTTCCCTTTAGTTTCACAACCCTGGCAAGGAGGTACTGGTTTTGTGTCCATCTTGCAGTTGAAATGGTTGAGCCTCAGATTATTGTGTGATTTGCCCAGGGTCACTCAGCAGGTTAGCAAGTGAGTGGGGATATCAACCCAGAATTCCCACCTCAGAATCCATGACTCTGTGCAAGTCTTTCAGCTCCTGGTTTAAATTTATTTCAAGGTATTTCATTCCTTTTGATGCATTTATAAGCTCAGTCACTCAGTCGTGTCCAACTCTGTGACCCCATGAATCACAGCACGCCAGGCCTCCCTGTCCATCACCAACTGCCAGAGTCCACCCAAACCCATGTCCATCGAGTCAATGATGCCATCCAACCATCTCATGCTCTGTCATCCCCCTCTCCTCCTGCCTTCAATCTTTCCCAGCATCAGGGCCTTTTCCAATGAGTCAGCTCTTCGCCTCAGGTGGACAAAATATTGGAGTTTCAGCTTCAACATCAGTCCTTCCAATGAACACCCAGGACTGATCTCCTTTAGGATGGACTGGTTGTGTCTCCTTGCAGTCCAAGGGACTCTCCAGAGTCTTCTCCCCAGGCTCAAAAGCATCAATTCTGCAGCGCTCAACTTTCCTTATAGTCCAACTTTTTCATCCATACATGACCACTGGAAAAACAATCACCTTGACAAGATGGGCCTTTGTTGACAAAGTAATGTCTCTGTTTTTAAATATGCTATCTAGGTTGGTCATAACTTTCCTTCCAAGGAGTAAGCATCTTTTAATTTCATTGCTGCAATCACTATCCGCAGTGATTTTGGAACACAATAAAATAAAGTCAGCCACTGTTTCCACTCTTTCCCCGCCTATTTGCCATGAAGTGATGGAACCAGATGCCATGATCTTAGT